TGCTGCACCCAGCCAGACTCAGCCTTCACCCTAGGAGCTCACAGTCTGGTGAGGGAAACTCTCCTCAGACTACATCATTTAGTGTCAAACACAGACACAGTCTCATTTCATCCTTCCGAGAACACAGCTCTGACCCCTGTGAGCAGACCACAGGGCCAAAAGACACTTGCCTGAGGGAGAACTGACAGGCAGCCCCCACCTTTTGAACATCCATCCATTCTCAGGAAACCCCTCCCTGCCCTCCTTTTGAGGCCCTATAGCTCAGCCTCACAGAGGTGCTATCAGGGTTTCTCATTTAATAAGCACACATTGAGCACTTACTGAATGCTAGGCCTGCTATAGTCCGGCTTGGAGTTTGTGTTTGGATTTGGTTGGGATAAAACTGAGCATCCAGCTAAGCTTGGGCTGGGCAGCAAGTTGTGGGCTGGGGGCAGCCAAGCCCAGCCTATTTTGCCTCATGTCTACAGGTGACAACCAGGGCATCCCAGTCATGTCCAGCATCAGGCTGAAAGAGGAGCAGCGCATGGCAACGACATCCCCCTGGATGTTTCCCTCTAACCTGGTGTGGCCTGAGGACCATGTGTTCATTTCCACACCCAACTTCAACTACACAAGCCGTGACTTCCAGCGCTTCTTTACAGACCTGCACTTTGAGGAAGGCTGGGACATGTGGCTACAGTCACGTAACCTGCTGGCAGGACTCCCAGCACCTGGCGTGGAAGTGTACTGTCTGTATGGTGTGGGCCTGCCCACGCCCTACACCTACATCTTTGATGATGGCTTCCCCTATACAGACCCCATAGGCACGCTCCATGAGGATGGTGATGACACTGTGGCCACGCGTAGCAGTGAGCTCTGTTCTCAGTGGAAGGACCTCCAGCCACAGCCTGTGCACCTGCTGCCTCTGCACAGGACACAGCACCTCAACATAGTCTTCAGCAACCAAACACTTGAGTACATCAATGCCATCCTCCTGGGTACCTACCGACATAGCAACTCTGCTCCCCCAGCTGCCAGCCCAGAGCCTCTGCCCCCTGAATAAAGATCATCTTTTGCCACTGTAAGCCTTGACGTGTGTGTTGTGGTTGAGGGGGAGGCACTCGGGTCCACACACCAGGATTCATTTAGCAGTAGCCACAGGCCTGGTGCTTTGTGAAGCATAGAGCAAGATGGACTTTGCAAAAGCCTAGGATTGAACTGGACACCCTGAAATGTACAGCTTCCCACTCTCCTGGTTGAGCTGTTAAGGCAGCCTACCTTGTGCCTGCCTCCATTTTGGGCATGGGCACTGGGGGTAGCTGCACACACAGCTGTGGGATGGTGGCATGTGGAGCCAAGGGTTTGTGATGGGAAAGAACTAACCTGTCCCTCCCAGCTCCCAAAAGAGCAGGCAAGACCTCTCTTCTAGATAGGGCATTTTGAGTGCTAGGTAGATGACAGAAGCACAAGAGTTTAGAATCTGGGAGAGATGGCCACTAATCCGATCATTTTGCTAATGAAGGTTTTAGTATTAATGGAGCTAAGAAGTCTGAGAGATGTCTAGAGAGCAACAAGGGGCCGAGTATTGTGTGTCAGGGAAGGCTTCCCAGAGGAAGTGGTGCCTCTGCTGAGATGTGAAGGGTAACATAAAGACTTGAGTTTGAGTCTAAGAGCACTGCACAGCTGCTGAAGTTTAACCAGGACAGTGTGAACAG